GGGGGGGGTTTGGGGCCCCCCCCCCCCCCCCCCCAATCCCAATGCCGGGGGTCCCTCACGGGGGGATTTGGGGTCCCTCACAGGGGGGGTTTGGGTCCCCTCCCCATCCCGGGGGTCTCTCACAGGGGGGTTTGGGGTCCCCTCCCCACCCCGGGGGTCCCATCCCGGGGGTCTATCACGGGGGGGTTTGGGGTCCCCTCCCCATCCCGGGGGTCCCATCCCGGGGGTCTCTCACAGGGGGGGTTTGGGGTCCCCTCCCCATCCCGGGGGTCTCTCACAGGGGGGGGGGGGGCAACTGGGGGGACACTGGGGGGTTGCTGTGAGGCACTGGGGGCAACTGGGGGTCACTGGGGGCAACTGGGGGATGGCTGTGAGCCACTGGGGGCAACTGGGGGTCACTGGGGGCAACTGGGAGAAGCCCTGAGGCCCGGTCTGGGTCCCTCAGAGGGCTTTGGTGTCCCCCCATCCCAAATTCAGGGGGTCCCTCACGGGGGGATTTGGGGTCCCTCACAGGGGGGGTTTGGGTCCCCTCCCCATCCCGGGGGTCTCTCACAGGGGGGTTTGGGGTCCCCTCCCCACCCCGGGGGGCCCTCACAGGGGGGGTTTTCTGAGCCAGCTCCCGGTTCAGGCGGTCGGTGAAGCCCTGCAGCAGCGTGTTCCCTCCGGTGACAATGACGCTGCCGTAGAGACCCTGCGTGGGGGGGGGACACGGCAGGGACCAGCGGGATGTGGGGGGGGTCCCTGCCGCCCCCAGACCCCCCCGGACGTGGGGGTCCCTGCCGGCCCCCAGACCCACCGGCCGGATGTCGATGTCGCACATGCCGATGCTGGTGGTGACCACGTGTCCCACGCCCAGCATGGTGTTCCCCGAGAGGCCCTGGGGAAAGGGGGGGGGTCAGGGGGTCCCAAAAACCCCCCCCGGGACCCCCAAAACCCGCTGGGACCCCCAAAACCCCCCTGGGACCCCCGAAACCCCAATGGGAACCCCGAATGTCCCCAGTGCCCTGGGTGACCTTGGCAGTGGAAGAGTCAGAGGGCCCTCAGACAGGCAGAACCCGGGGGTGGGGGTCCCCTAAACCCCCCAGGACCCCAAACCCCCCCCCAGGAC